TTTTATATAATACAAGTATACCTGGTAAAGTGTATGGTAGTTATTATTGAAAGAATTAAGCGTAGGATGGAGAGCAAGATAGCAGATGAACAGGGAGGCTTTAGGAAAGGTAAGGGGTGTGCAGACCAATTATTTGCAGTGAAACATATAGGTGAACAGTATTTAGATAAGGGTAAAGAGGTTTTTGTGGCATTTATGGATTTGGAAAAGGCATATGATAAGGTGGATAGGGGGGCAATGTGGCAGATATATGGAATAGGAAGTAGGTTATTGAAAGCAGTGAAGTCTTTACAAGGATAGCGAGGCTCAGGTTATAGTATGTAGGCGAGAGGGAAATTATTTCCCAATAAAAGTAGGCCTTAGGCAGGGATGTGTGATGTCACCATGGTTATTCAATATATTTGTAGATTGGTTAGTAAAAGAAGTGAATGCTCGGATGTTGGCAAGAGGTGTGGAGTTAAGATAAAAAATCTAATATTAACGAAGTGGGAGTTATCACAGTTGCTCTTTACTGATGACACTGTGCTTTTTGGGAGATTCTGAAGAGAAGTTACAGAGGTGGGTTGATGAGTTTGGTAGGATATGTAAATGAAGGATATTGAAAGTGAATACAGGAAAGAGTAAGGTTATGAGGATAACAATAAGATTAGGTGATGAAAGATTGGATATCAGATTGGAGGGAGAGAGTATGGAGGAGGTGAATGTATTCAGATATTTGGGAGTGGACGTTTCAGCAGATGGGTCTATGAAAGATGAAGTAAATCATAGAACTGACAAGGGGAAAAAGGCAAGTGCTGCACTGAGGAGTCTGTGGAGACAAAGAACTTTATTCTTGAAAGCAAAGAGGGGAACGTATAAGAGCATAGTTATACCAACACTCTCGTATGGGTATGAGGCATGGGTTGTAAATGTCACAAGAAGGCTGGAGGCAGTGGAGATGTCATGTCTGCGGGCAATGTGTGAGAGAGAATCCGTAGTTTGGAGATTAGGAGGAGGTATGGGATTACCAAAACTATTATCCAGAGGGCTGAGAAGTGGTTATGGAGAGGGTTTGGACATGCAGAAAGAATGGAACAAAATAGAATGACTTCGAGAGTGTATAAATCTGTAGTGGAGGGAAGGCAGGGTAGGGATCGGCCTATGAAAGGTTGGAGGGAGGGGGTAAAGGAGATTTTGTGTGTGAGGGGCTTGGACTTCCAGTAAGCATGCGTGAGCGTGTTAGTAGCAAATGGAGACAAATGGTTTTTAGGATTTGATGGGTTGTTGGAGTGTAAGCAAAGTAACATTTTTGAAGGGATTCAGGGAAACCGGCAGGCCAGACTTGATTCCTAAAGATGAGAAGTACAGTGCCAGCACTCTGAAGGAGGGGTGTTAATGTTGCAGTTTTATAACTGTAAGGTAAGCATGCCTCTGGCAAGACAATGATGGAGTGAATGATGATGAAAGTTTTCCTTTTTCAGGCCACCCTGCCTTGGTGGGAAATGGCCGATGTGTTAATAAATAAAAAAAAAATTAAAGATTAACCCTTTGACTGTCGCAGCCCCCAATCCTGAGGTGTCTCCTGGTGTCGCAAAATTTAAAAAAAAAAAAATTATTTTTTCTTATGAAATGATAGAGAATCTTTTCCCGATTGTAATGACACCAAAAAAAACAAAATTTGATGGAAAACTGGCGGAATTATGCTCTCGCAAAGTTAGCGACCTCGGCGCTGTTTACAAATCGGCGATTTTGCCCACTTTGAGCCCTATTTTCGGCTAATTCCATTGTTCCAGTCGCCCAAACTCATAGCTATTTCTTTAGAACTCCATTTTTTCTATCGATTGAGTACAAGAAACTGCCCATTTACCGATTTCAACTACCTAATAATGTGGTCAGAAATTTGCAATTTGGCCAATTTCACGAAAACTAAAAAATATGAAAATTTTCAAAATAAGGTCCAGAATGATACAATGCAGACATTCCTGGCTCTAAAATAACATTTTTCTTTGCTCATCAGGTCATGTCTCCAGGCTCCTCTGATATTACTCTTGCTTTCTATTTTGAAGTTTTATTCAAAAAAAAAATAGAAGACTTACTATTATGCAGACTGCTGCAATACTGTAATAATTGTATAATAACATAAACCATTCATTACTGCATCATTAGAATGCCCTCTTGGAATTTATGAACAATGGCATCTTGTTTACTTTTGAACATTGGCAAAAATCAACATTCCCCTACTTTGAGTCCATTCTAGGTTCTTTTATAGTAATCATCAAATCACTCTATTTCTATAACATGTTTTCCATTCTATCAAATGAGACCAAGAAAACGAAAATACAACCATAAATACTATACGAAAATAGACCACAAAGTCGGCATTTTAATTAAAAAAAACGGTCGGAGTTTTTTTTTTCTCATTATGCACTGCGTGCTCCAGGATTTTTTTTATATGGTGCACACTGACCACACAGACCCATTCTCTCACATGTGGGCCTACCAGCTTTCTCCTGTTTGATTTGAAGCCGCTAGAATTTATGAGTATATATACGTCAAACACGGTACCTCATAAGACGTATATATACGGCCACGACAGTCAAAGGGTTAAAGCTCATTTTGAGGTTTTTGCTTTTGGTTTTCATCCCAGCTTCAATAAAATTTAATGAAATGTGTAATTTAAGAAATTAACTTATCATGAAATGCAGTAATATTAACATTTTTACCATACGGTCACATTTTTCATGAACAGGTAATGAGAATTATCACATTGTTCAGTCTTACAAATTATCATAAATCGTACTTTTTCAGCTTCTGAAACTTGTACAAGAGGTGACACATACAAGTACCAGTGCCCTTTATGAGCTGCTGGGTACAGTTAATGAACTCTCTTGGGAATGTGGTGTTCAGCCACATATTGATGAAGCCATACCCAGCCTAACTACTCTTTTACAAGTAAGAAATTCAAGTACAGTATGATGCTTTATCTTTACATAAATGATATAAATCAAAATCACACACATACACATGCATTACTAGAATTAGTATTCTGATATTTCTGAGAATGAAAGAGATACATGTGCCCCACAAAGCAATTTTGAAAATTCAAGTTTAATTCAACCACTAAAACTGCTGAATTCATGGAAAATCTAAACCCTTAAGGGTTTACCACTTTGTATGAATATAACAGTTTTGTGAAAAGTGTTACACCCATAAGGTTTGGTCAGTGCTACATGTAACCATTGATGCCAAGATGTACAGATAAGGAAAACAAATGTAAACTACATTACACTGAAGACTACAAAGATTTTGAGTCAAATATTGTAGGAGCTAATATATACATACATACAGTATATATCTTCTAATTAGGCATTTATCCATGGAAGGGGAGAGTAGTTCCAATGTCTTGGATCAAGAGCCTTGCACTGGCATCTAGGTATCCCTGGAAAGGCCTCCCATGGGTAGCCCCATCCAGTGCAACCAGAGGCACTGACAAAGACCTCACAAATACACTCTGGTCTTACACATGGAATGGACAGCTATCTTGTCTAGTGACCTACAGTAGTCTATAAAATATGCAAGTGCTCAGACCTGCTTGTAAATATAACACATAAAAGTTTATTAAGAGAATATAATGTGCTTAAAAAAAATATGTAGAATATTCTGCAACATCTTTCTCTACAGCATGTGCCAGTTGAAGGATGGCTGTCCCACAGTGTGCCACAGCTGCTGTCTTTGCTGCATCCTGAACGTAGTGGTGACACGAGCGAGTGTGATGCTCCACTTATCCACCAGTACTGCAGTGTTCTGGCTACCTTCCTCCACCATAGCCCTCGAGCACTCCAGTACTGCATTGCAAACTATGCAGAAGAACTTCGGTATGAGACTACTCTTGTTTGGGTCACTTTTGTCTTATACACTGCAATAATACATTACTTAAATGAATTCTGTAACAGCTACAAGTGGAAGCCACTGCAATTGTAATGGTTTGCCTTGTTAATTCTCTTTGCTGTAAAATATTATGATAAAGATGCCATCAGTTGGTGCATCAAACGACATATATTGTAGTCCTCTATTTTAACAGTATAATGTTTCACCCAACATTGGGCTTTATCCAGTACATATCAGATATGAGAGGCAATGTCTTGTATAGTCCACAGGGAATGATAGCCCATGCTTAAAAGTTGCATGTTGAGATATAAGTAAAGCTCCTCAAAAGTAGATGGAGTACTGGCCTTCAGTAGTCCATTGGTTTAATACAAGTGCATGACAGGAGCAGACAAAGCAAATATCCTATGGCCTTCTTTGATGGTGTTTGGTTGAACAGATGATCCCATGGATCATCTCAGTTTGTGTTCCTGGTACAGTAGTTCACCTTGTAGGTTAATTTAATAACCACTGATTTCAGATATCTACCAAATATGTCATGCTCCAGGTACTGAAGAACAGTTTGTCCCATGCCATGGGACAAAGGTGAACTTTGGTACCAGGAACACAACAAACTGAGATGATGCCTGGAATCATCAGTTTATTAAACTAACCAACACTATTAAACATGGTTCTGTATGTGCTACACATTCCATTGCTAAGTCTAGACCAGTAGGTCTCCTGCGGTCCATCTATGTTTGAGTAGCTGTATTTACACCTAAGCATGCAACTCCTAAGCATGTATCATCACTTTCTTTGGCTTATACAAATTACTCTCTTGTATGTGCTATATACTGTACTTGATAACACCCATTGTTGAATGAAACATAAAAGTAATTACACAGCATCTGTGTCACCAACTGTAAAATAATGTACTGAAAATCTAAAAAAAAAAAAAAAAAAAAAAAAAAAAAAAAAAAAAAAATCAGCATATTCACAAAAGAATTAAAACTGTGAAATATTAATTATATACACAGAATGAAATAAATATGTACCTTTTAAATTATTTCAAGTTAAATTTGCTGCCCAAATTTCACTAATAAGGGTCTTCACAAACTATTTTTTCCACATCATTTACTATATTTTTGTTTTTATCTACAGGTACTACATTCATGAATCGGTGATAAATTGTCTTTTTGGAGAAGGCTGTCCAGTGCTACCTCATACACTGAAGCTGGTACGGATGATAGGTCAGCTGGTTAAATCCAAAAGATCTCTTCGAGCTAGATGAAGTCACCTGCGTGAAAACGGCTAAATTATTGTAGGAATGATTGTTAATGTTCATTTGCTTTATTTCCAGAAATTGTTGATAATTATTATAATTTAAACATACCAGGTAACTGTGGTACTGGAGTTATTATTAATACAGTAAACACTTTATTTAGAAGGCTAATGGTAAGAGAGAAAATGTACGGATGGCAGGTAATGGTGACACGGGGTGGACAGAGACGAGATTATTTTGCCGTGATCGTAACGATTGCGAATAATTCTAAAACCAGTGGATTTTTGTCCAATGTTTCAGAATCAACCAAATGAATTTTCTCCTGTATTTCCACAGTTTGTCAAACTGAAGGTTTACTGTTACATTCACAAGGGGATTGCTAAACCAGTAGGTGTCATACAGCACCTGGGTATTTGAAGGCAATCAGGTTTGATCCAGACCAGGAAGTGTATTGAAAATGCTTTGTCTCCCTAAATACACATTTATTTCATTACAATATTAAACAATCGGCTTACCAGTAGGTTTACACCAACTTATTTCATGTGTACTAGTCTATTAAGCTTCATTTGATTCATCACTAGTTATCAATTACTGTACCATTATTTACCATATTAATCTTAGGAGACTGGCCACTGCAAACCTCTTTTAGTTTTATATATAAATTGTTCTTTTCATGCTAAGCAGCACTAGAGTACAACTAAAAACTGTTATTCATTAAACTATTTATGTAAATATAGAAATGTAACCTGTTAAACAAATATATATAGTATATATATTTAACAATTGTGATGTCACAATCTTTGCACATATTTAAAACTGAATGGATCTAAATATAATAACCAAACTTGCTTTTAGCAGTAAGATGGTTCAAGTAATATCCTCCATGCTTCTCTACTCTTTTTTTTTTTTTCCCATTACATGCTTCCCCATACTTGTTCTGGGATGTGATTTTTTTTGTTTTTCCATTTACTGCTTGAATTCTATTTTTTAGGATACCCAGATTGTTTTTTTGTGAATCTTGCAGATACAATAGGACATGAAAGTGTGTAGGCTAGTGTAGTGCCAGACAGCTTAAAACATGCTCAGTGCATCACTTGCTTGTGCTTAGGCACCTACAAAATTTAATTTTGGAAAAAGCTGAAACCTCGCATCCCTGCTATTCAGTTTCTTCCATTACAGTCTATCGCATCTTTCATTCACCTCATCTTTCCATCTGCCTATTCATCTTGCACATTCCTGCACCTAACTTTCATTCATTCACTCCATCCAAACCATTACAGAAATTTTTATATTTTACATCATACTCCCCCATGCCTTACATCTTGCCTGAAAGGAGTCCACTTACATTCGTTATGCATGTATGGCAACAAAAAATGTGGTTATAAAAGATGCATACAGCCAATGGACACCTTTATTAGTATGTTGTTTCACCTACATGAGGTTTTATCAAGTACAATGAAAATAAAAATAAGCAACATATAGTTATGGGAGGTGGAGTCTGGTGGTGGGTGAGGTTGAAGTTGAGATGTCACATCCAGTGTAGAAGTGACCTGTCAGGGACTGATACTGTTGAAGTGAGGGGTCAGGGTGAGTAACATTGGATGTGGCCTGAATCATTAAGTCATTCCCTAGTAATTTGAGTTTTTGTCTGTGTTTCAGAGTAGTTTTACAATGGGTTTAGCTAAAATGCAATTACCTTTGTCCTGCGAGATTCAAGACATAACCCATTTCTGTTGCTTTCCTGGTACATTATACAGACTTGCTTGAAGTTCATGAGAGGTAGGTAGTGTGTGTTTGTTTGTTTTCAAGTATACCACACCTGCATATAATGTGTTGTCCATCCTGCTGGTGTATCTGTGTTCTTGTAGTTGAATATTCAAGTCCATTGATGTTTCTTCATTGTACATAAAATTGCATCCCTCACATGGAATATTGTATACCCCCTCTGTACTTCATCTTGGTGATTTCCTTAATAGCTTGCTTACTACAACTACTACTATGTCAGCAGTGTGTACAATAGGGTGACTGAAGTCTGTCCTATTCACATAATTGACCTGTAACTGGTGGTAGTAATCTCCCTGGGATGTGAAAATGTTAATGACTTTAGTCTTGCAAGAGTTGATAGTGTGTTCAGGACATTTTAAGGCAGAAGAAAGTTCTATATATTCTTTTTCTTCAAGTAGATTTTCTCTGCTACAGATCTGGAGGGTGCATAGAAATACTTATCTACCTCTTTGTTCTGAGATCGTGATGTTGTAGTGGATTAGATAAATTTTCTCTTTTTGTAAAATTCATACTGGAAGGTGTCATTATCCCAATAAAGAGGACACTGAGGAAAAATAGGGAGAAATTCTGTTCCTTATCCAAAGTGAACTATGAAGGTTGAAATGTCTGGGTACTGTGACAAACATTGAAATATCTTAACCATATAATGTAGCGGGGAATGTTAAACTAGTCACTTTCTAGATGCTCAAGGTAGATCTGCACTAAGAGGAGAACCCATGGCTATCCTAAACCTCTGCAAAGTTCAATAAGATCAATGAAATCCTGTTCAGGAACAGGGAGTTTAATGCCAGTGGAAGAGGTTGTGGGGACTCTTAGTAAATAAGGAACTATGTCCAGGCTGGAAAGCTTCTTTTCTTACAGTAGTGGTATTCAGATGTGTCGGGAGATTGCCCGAGTGCTTCAGGTGTGAAAAGTTGGGTGTGCATAAGAGAGCAGATGCTTGTCCAGCAAACCAGTTACTTGTAGAAAGCACTGCCAATGTTAATAGTGGGGTATAATAGTATATTTGGTTTGTGTTTTGGGATATCAATAGATGTGTGCCAGTCTAGGGTTAAAGGGCATAAATTACTGAAGCCTCTTTCCCTGTGATGTACTGGAGAATGTTAGGATTGATGAAATTTTTTGTGCCATGGTACTCTCAGAGATATCAGAATACCCATATACATGTAAATCCTGCATCTTCTTGTGATAACTGCTGCTGTTAAGTATTACCACTCCTATTACCTTTTCAGTTGTTTTAATCATTGTTCGTGTTATATGGCTAAGTTACTGAAGGTATCAATGAAATACCTTGATAGACCAGAGCTACAGGCAAGATTTTCTGAATGTATCTTTTAAGGAAATCTAAATCAGTGTGTGTCTGGTTTCTTGTGATAAAGTAAATACATTGTCTTGGTTTCCAAATTCCTGTCAAGATTTTGAGTTGTTGACTTAAGGCCTATGTCTCAACAATGAAAAGCCAGTAAAACAGAGTTTTATATCTAGTTTCCAGCATTTGGCCATGTGCTGCTGTTGCAGTGTTTGTAGAAAGTGTTTGCATTTATGTATTGTAATATGTATATTGCTATGCTAAAGTTGTCTTCTGATGTTGGCCATGTGCTGGAGTATAAGGTCCCCTAGGAGAATCCCTATGGCACAATCTGGCATAATCAAAGGTTAACCTCTTTTCTTAGTCAAGTTTTCAAAGGATAAAGAGGTTAGTCTTTGATCATGCCAAACAACTAAGAGTTCCTATGCCACTATGCTCCAGGACATGGCTGACAACACCAGGAAGCAAATTTTCCAAAGTAAAAGGCAACAAATATAAATGCCTTTTCCAAACCCTATACAACAATAGTGCATGGAAAAATGTTGGAAAACTAGATATTCTCAATTTCTTACCAGTTCTCTAGCACTGAAACAGAGGCCCTTAGTTTGGGTCTCAGTATCTAGACAGGAATCTGGAAACCAGGACAACATATTTACTTTACCACACAGAACCAGAAAAATACTGACTTGGATTTCCTCAAAAGATACATTCAGGAAATCTTAGCTGTTGCTCTGCAAGAATCTACCACCCCTGCTCTATCAAGAGGTTACATCAATGCAATGAGTAACCTAGCCAAGAAACATAAATGTAATGATTAAAACAGCTGATGAGGGGAAAAGTGGTAATATTTAACAACAATTATCAAGGGAAGATTCAGGATTTACTTGGCAATCCATGATCCATGGCACAAAAGCCTCTATCAAAGCCCAACATATTTTCCAGGACACCACAGCAAGTCTTTATTACCTTCTATCCTCCAACCCTAGACTGTCACACGTCTAAAAGTTACCTGTAACACTCGAGCAATCTCCCAGCACATCTGTACAGTCACCAAAAATAAGTAGCTTGACAGCCTGGATGTAACTTCTTCCACACCACCATGTTCATTGGCAATGAACTCCCAATATCCACACAGGATTTCACTGATCTTAAACTGTGCATAACTTTCAACCTGCTCAGCTTTCACAAGCAGAGGTTCAGGATGACCATAGGTTTTTCCCATAGTACAGTACTGGCAAACGTCAACCTTTAGCATGTAGAGAGACCGATTCAACATCATTCCCAGCTATATTGATTGGTTAAGTTATATTGGACACAACTTTGTCACAGTACCCAGATGTTTCAACCTTCAGTTTCAGGGAACAACTCGGCCGAAGGAAATCCTTCATAAAATTTACCTTGGAAGAGGAACAGAATGACTATTTTCTTAATGTCCTTCTTATCAAGAAAAACAGCTTCAAATACAAAATCTACAGGAAGCAAAAAAATAAAAATAGTCTAATTCACTACTTCTCTCATCATGGGTGATTGTGTGTTAATAGGCCTTTTTCTTTGCTCCTTCAGGATCTGTGGAATTGAACACTAACCCAAAAAACAAGAAGAGATAAGATTCTATCTGCCTTAAAATTTCCTAAACACATTACCAACTTTCAAATCCAAGGAAAAATACTACCATTGATCACAGGCTGAGTCTATGAATAGACAGACAGTGACTTCCATCACTCTATTCTACATATAACTGACATTGGAGCAGAAGTACAAATATACACCACAAACTATTAAGGAAATCACGAGGATTCCCCATCTCACTAAGTACATAGGGGTATACAATATCCCATGTGGGGAGGGAAAGGGATACAATTGCATGTGCAAAGAAAAATCATGACAGGACTTAGATACTCTACTACAAGAATACAGATAC